GCTTGTTGTATCAAACGAGTCGGTTTATAAGAAATTGACGAAACTGAACAGAAGCAAAGCGCATGGTCCTGATGGCATCCCAGGGTGGGTGTTGAAAGAAAATGCAGATTTACTGGCAGCGCCGATAGCAGATATTCTCAATTTATCTTATCGCGAAGGTCGTCTCCCTCATTCATGGAAAGAAGCGGATGTCGTGCCGGTGCCTAAGCAAAGACCTGTGCAGGACATAAACAAACACCTTCGACCCATCTCCCTGACTCCAATCTTGTCAAAGATAGCGGAGGAGTACGTTGTCGACACTTATGTTAAGCCCGCTGTCCTCTCAAAGATCGACCCTCAGCAATTTGGTACGGTGCCTAAATCCAGCGCCACGCATGCATTAATTAGTATGATTCACTCTTGGGCGAAGTCAACGGATGGAAATGGATCGACTACGAGAGTTGTACTCCTTGACTTCCGGAAGGCATTTGATCTGATTGACCATCATGTTCTGGCGCGGAAGCTTTCCTCCTACGATATTCCAAGGCCGATTTTGTGCTGGATCATGGACTTTTTAACGAACCGTAAGCAAAGGATAAAACTGAGTCGCGATTGCTTCTCGGAGTGGGAAGCTGTTCCTGCAGGGGTGCCACAGGGGACGAAATTGGGCCCCTGGCTGTTCCTTATCATGATAAATAATCTTTCTGTAGCAGACACAACTATTTGGAAATACGTTGATGACACCACTCTTGCCGAATCAGTATTGAAGAATGAGTCTAGCTACATGCAATTACGTGTAAATGAACTTGTAAGACAGTCAGAAGTTGATGGTTTCCAATTCAATGAGTCTAAATGTAAAGAACTGAGAATATCATTCTCCAGATCAGGTAGTCTGTTTGATCATATTACTATCAATGACAAGCAAATCGAAGTTGTTTCATCTGCAAGGTTGTTAGGAGTGATAGTCTCGGACAACCTCAGGTGGAACGCACATGTAGAATCTATATGCAAAAAGGCTGCGAAGCGTCTGTACTTCCTAAAACAGCTAAAGCGCGCTAAAGTTCCATCTGAGGATATGCTACTTTTCTATACGACATGTATACGCCCTGTATTAGAATATGCGTGCCCAGTTTTTCATCATTCTTTGCCGCAATATCTGTCCAATGAAATGGAAAGGTTGCAAAAACGCGCGTTGCGGATGATTCAACCTGACTTATCCTACGCTGAGGCTCTAGTAGCTCTTGACGTTGCGTCACTGTACGAGAGGAGGGAGATCTTGTGTGATGCTCAATTTGATCAGATTGTAAGGGACGAAAACCACAAGCTCCATGATCTACTGCCTCCACGCAACGAGTCCACCTATCGCACCCGCAGCCAGAGATACTTCAAGCTACCGATTTGTAAGACAAATAGGTTCAAAAACACATTTATCATAGCGAACAGTTTTAATTATTAGTAGCTATCTTAATTATTTGTATTTTAGTTTTTAATACTTCTCTTATTGTATTTTATTGTAGATTACACCTTGTAGCTTTTATTGTAGTTATCTTAGAGTAAGAGATAATTTATTTCCATTGTAAAGTAAGTCGTATTTCAGCCGGCCCGAGGACTGCAATGATTTTACTCCCCTAATAAAGCTATCTATCTATCTATCCTAACCCTGCAGGAGACGGGGCCTACGGTTTGTTCGTCCTTATCCGAGATGACTAGAATATCTATCCATTCTTTTATCATAGAAAGGTAGCAAATTCTCCTCGCTTATTTTAAGACCATGAGTATCGGTCCAGCCGGGGCTCGGACCCTCAACCTCCCGCACAACACAATCCGGCACTCTAACCAATTGAGCTAACCGGGAGGCTTTTTGGTTCCTTTTTGGTTTCACCCTTGAGAATTAACTGCTGTAACAGTTGCTATATCTAAAGAATTGATCATATCCTTTGTCAAGGAGTGACGAGGAAACTTGATTAATTAACATCATATACAAGAGAAATGATTTTATTGTTTTTTTTTCCTTTGGAAAGAATGCCAATACTTGTCCAGTTGGACGGAAACCATACACCGAAATATTAGTGCATGCTTCAAGGAAAGGACCTGTGTTGCAAAGAGTGAGTTAACAGCATTGAACATCTAACTTCATGTGATTAAGACCCAAAACTTACTCTAGGATGTGAGATATTGGTCAATGTCCATATTTTTTTTTTTTAGTTTAGGCCAGGTGTTCAGTACATATATCTTATTAACCATGCGGGAGGGCCGTACTGGGAGAATATTGGCCTGAGGTCTTGACAGTACGGACCGAGCGCAGCGAGGTCCGTACAAAAAAGACCGAGGGCCGATATTCTTCCAGTACGGTCCTGAGCAAGCTTGGTTGATAAGAGATTTATTATACGACTGAAGTTCAAAGGGACACAAGTGTGGTATCATTCGGGACAGTGCCCGATCCAATACTGAGAGAATATTGACCGGCAATAGAGCATTTTGATTGGTTGCTTTTAGTTATTGGCCCTCTGACTGCTCAAGTCGTGTAATAAACAGTGTCATTTTCCTCACTTGAATGTCATATTTTGATTTAGATACCAGTTGAAGAAAGAATAGTAGAAGATGAACTGGAGGATGATCCAACATATTGTGAGGTATGAGAACATTTTACTCCAAAGGTTTTATCATATTGTTTGTGTTTGTTGGTCCTTTGGTTTCATACACATACATGTATGTGTCATAACCTAACTTCAATTTGTATCTAAGGTTCTTGCCTTTTCACACCTTGTTAAAAGCTGACGAGACGTGAAATCATGATCTGATCCCAAATAACACACATGGAGTAACTGTTTTCCTTTTCTTGAGGCATGAATATTTTAAGGATTTAAGTTTCTATCACTTTGATGGAACTTAAAGTGTGAATTGTAAAGCCAATGATAAGCTTCAGACAAGAAACTTACCTCAGTGTTGTTGATTTTTAACCTTTTTTAAGCTGTGTGGCCTGTATGACAGAGAAGAACGAATGCTCTTATGTGATGGATGTGATAATGGGTGAGTCTTGCTACAGTGGCTGTAAATAATTGTGTTTGGGTAGTTGAAAAAGCCAAGAGTAACCAAGGTTATACACACTGTGTCCATCACTATCTAAAAATCCAAAATTTACAAATGGGAATTAAAGAAAATGAACACGTATTTCCCAACCAATTTATTCTCATAAACTCCCTTGTTGTTTGATAACAGCTCGTGCACTTTGATACCATTTTATTCCTATTTCAGTGACAGCCGCTAATGGTTTGGTCAGATGAAAATAAATAAACATTTTGAAAATGTCGATTTTCCAGTTCTATATATGGAAGCAATTTGCGATGGAAGGTAGAACTCTGGGATTGCTTTGGTTTTGCATCTCTTAGATGGACACATGAATGACAGAACTAGAAAACTCTTGCTCTTCTTTTAAAGAATTCAGAAGTAAAAGTAAACTAATCACGACTACGTAACTCGCGTCTCCTTGCGCTGGACGGATCTACACCAGTCTTGTACCTGTCTTAGGATACTCATTATTTCCTTGACATTAATTTGTACATTTGATCTGGTTTGCTGCAGTTATTACTTTGGTTTTTCGTTTTGTGACAGTCACATGAAAAGTGTTTAAACTTTATTCACTTTGTTTCTAGTTATCATATGGAATGTTTAACGCCACCCGTGGAATTCGTTCCTATTGAGGAGTGGTACTGCCCCACGTGCTCTACTCAACAAGAGGGTTATGGAAACCCTGAGGGCTTCCCTCAGGAGGGACATAGGGAAGGAGGTCTGAGAGAGGTGCCTCGTGGAAGGCCACGTGGGAGACCACGAGGAAGTACTTCAAGGCGGATTTCTGTTTCGGAACGAACAGGTTAGGTTTAATTGGGATATATGGTAGATAAAAAAGTAGAGTTGTGAAAATTATGGAAACTAAAACGGGTGCCTCGATGTTAAACGAAAGCTAACAGGTGCGATGAGTGACACGAGGAGAATTTGATTCTGAAGAAGGAGGGGGGATGGTGGAAAGGGAGAGGATGAACTTTGCTGAGGTATCAAAGCTCTTAAGGAGGTAGTGTGTGAACATCGTTATCATTTATCTATTTATTCATTCATTTTAAGGATATGCTGCATGTTACCAAAATCTTGTTTTGTTTTTTTTTTAAAGACCAATATTGTCATCCCGAATATATTATACGAATGAGATGTTCCAAAACATAGGAACAAACGCGGAGATCCGAGTAAGAGATCATGAGCTTTCATTAAGCATAATGTGCCAGTCGAACATAATGAGTTAAAGGTCTTCCAATCTAACATACAAAGCCTTTGTATTGTAGCCCCTGCAAGAAGAGCTCGAACAGTAGCCTCTACGCGAGGTCGAGGCAGAACCCGCACCGCCCAGGGACGAGTGCGAGCAAGGAGTAGCAGTCGAGGGCGGGGACGAGGGGGCAGCAGTAGAGGTCGGTCGGATTCAACCACAACTGGAAGGAAAAGAAAGCGGAAAAAGAAGAGGAACAAGAATAAAAAGAGGACGGGCACATCGAGTACAAGAAATGAAAAGAAATCTTCGAAAGGAATAACAGTGAAGGGAAGAAAGCGGCGTCGCGTAATCGAGGAAGACGAAGTATCGCCATTCATCTACGAACCTGTTAGGCGTGGAAGAACGGTTCATGCCAGACTGTTGGAAAGTTTGAATGCAACCGGTCCTTCCACCGAGCCTGGCCGCTCACCGTCTCTAGGAAGAGCACCTTTTCCTAACAGAGTTGAACCAAGTTCGAGTTTTTCATTATTTGGGAATGCTTATGCCCTGTATGACTTCGACGATCGAGAAGACACACGCGAGACAGCGCGCACTGAGGTACAAGGTACTGTTTTGAGGTAAGGTGTTATGCTAGGGTTAACATGGGTTCTATTAAGCATATTCCCTCAGTGGTTGCACACCTGGCAAACTGAGCCAAGGAGAATCGCTGGCAAGCTAGATCTTTTACAAGGGTCATACACACTGTATGGGATGTAAAGCGTCACTTACTGCTAGGATCAGCAATGTCAACTCCTAATTTAGTCTGTTTGGTCCACAGCTCAGCATCGACCAATCCAGATGTCTTGGGATCCATATTTCAAAACTTGGATTCCTTGCACAGTCCCGGCGTACAAGTCGCGCGTGACGGGAAATTAGTGAAGTCCACTGACCAACGTTCAGCCAAGGATGTCAAGAATAGAGATGCAAAGTCAGCAAGTAACATGGACGAAATAAAAAATGAAGTTAATTTAGAGATAGAGCAAAGGCCAGACGTGGTAGGGAATCTTTTAGATGACGAGGAAAAAAGGACAAAAACTATGAATAGCGTCAAACATTCTTCAAGCGGCAAACAAGATGATAAGCAGGGTAAGATCGAGATCATTTCCGATGAACTTTCTCCTTCCAACTCATCAGAGAAAAACTATGCTGTTTCATGTAGGAAACTGTCAGATGCAGGAGATATTCAAGATAGTTCTCGTGGATCTTCAAATAGTTCTCCCCCTCTAATTCCTCTCTCTTTAAAACCGACGCTCTCTGGTTTCCGAATTCCAAAACGGAGCTCAATTTCGGAAGATAAACCCAATCAAACGCCGTCAAGGTTTCATGGTGGCTCGTCAAGCGCTAATCAGATACGAAGTAAAAATTTCTCCGTCATTTCAAACTTTAAAATACCAAAAAGGACAAGTTTATCTTGTGAGGGAAATCCAACCGAAGCTTTATCCGATACAGTCTACACTAAGCGTGTTAAATCTGTGGGCCAGGCGGGAGCAACGCTCTCTTCGAGTACTGTAAAACCAGCAAATACGTCATTTTATGGCTTATCTCAAGACAAAGTTGTTTCTCAGTCTTGTCCCAAATCTAAGGATACAGAAAGTTCCCGAATTTACTTTAACAGCGTGATGACGAGAAAAGATTCTCGGAGTGAGTCACCAACTGTACCTGGAGTAACTAGCGTGACTGGCGTGACAAAATGTCATGCCAATAACGTTACTAGCGTTACTCATAGACACACAACCAGCTCAAGGGCCGCTGCACTTTGTGTAACGAGTACAAGAAATACCACTGCAAGTACGACAAAGGCTGCTGGCGCATATCACTGTTACAACAAAACCATAAATATCTCACCGCCTCTGAGCAAGACAGTTCCTATAATCAATCAACCACCGACAGAGAAAGAGCAGCGGCGTAGCAATATAGAAATAATAAGAATGCTGAATGAAAAGCAGAAGAGTATGAGGAAACAGATGTTAGGTGATCGTAAATGCACTTCCGTTTCTGGTGACTTGGCAGGTGCGCGCGCGTTACAACAGAAGGGACTTTGTGTTTCTGAAAAGTCACCAAAATGTGGGATTGCGGCATTACCGATTGCTGTGGTCAAACCATCTCTTCACACGCCAAACGCCCAAATAAGCAGCTCAAGTTCCGTACGCTCTAACAGTTTAGAGAACTCACCAGTGAAAAGCATTGCCAGTGGAATTATAGATGCACACAGTGGTAATACTCAGGAGTTCAAAAAAGTGCGCTCAGAATTTGATTCACCCGCCTCTCTTGGATGTGAAATCAGCGGCTCTGGTGTTGGACTTGGGGTGGGGGCCTTTAAACGCGACGGGGAGGCAGAGACAGGAGCTCATTGTGACAGAGAGCAGCAGAGAAAACTAGTAAGGCTGTATAAGAAATTCTAATCTTGTGCAAGTTAGTCTGCTATCTTGAAGAATACTTGTGTGTTCAAGACAGTTTTTGCAAGACCATGAACAGTTCTCTAACGCCTCAGTCAGTCAGACAGTCTTTGGAATTGTTATTTTTAAAGGTATTATTGCGCCCACCGAGGTATAAATACCCACAATACCTCACTTAAACTGGACGTGCGTTTAAGTAGGACCCGATCGTTGTGTTGGAAACCTGTGGTTTGCACGTTCGTCTCTAAGTATTTATTATCCTTCCCAGGATACTAAATTCTTTTTATCACTTCATAAAGCAATTTTCATTTCAGCGTCTAAAGTACCCCAAGATTGCATTGGTTTTGTTTAACAACGATCTATGGCTGATCTAAAAAACTCGCACCACTCGATAAACTAATAAGATTTAAAACTAAAGCCAATCCTGATCTGGTTACTTTCGTTTTCCCGCGTTTGAGATAGCTATATTGTTTTTACTCCAGACATCCTATTGGTGGCTCCTTGTGATATTTCCCTCTCTACCGATTGGCTGTTTTATCAATGTGCAATTTACTTGTGCTTTGTGAAAACCAGTTGGGACGTGCAATGCAACGATTCAGACGTAGATTACGTTCGCTTGTTTTAAGAGATTTGCCTTACCTCATATTTTTGAGAGATTTTCCTTGCCTTATATTTTTCAGGGAATAGCACGGCTCCAACGGCATGAGCAAATAGTCGATGAAGTTAAGCTAGCACTGAAGCCATTCTTCAGACATGAAGAGATTACAAAAGATGAGTACAAGATTATCATGAGAAAGAGTGTGGAAAAGGTTTGTGAGAGAAAATCTTTTCAGGGTTCAATGTCACTATTCTGAGAGGCAGGCACTAAGTAGAGGTAAAACCCCATGCACGCTACTACAGTTAGGGTCAAGAAAACCTTAAAAAAGTTGCGGGCGGCTACATCGTCCTTCATTTTCCCCTGGTTTTATTTAATTATTTTTTGCGCACCCCCTTAGATCCTTTGCTTTTCAACTCCAAGTAACTTGTGCGGCATTTGCGCCCGAAATTATGTTAGGAATGAATGAGTCAAAATCATCTTTAGGTACTATTCGCGGCTCGGTAATTATCCACCACTAGCCACCTCTACTACAGTGAACATTTGTTAACTATCGTATCGATTTCTAAGGAGTTGAACACATATTTGTTCAAATACGTGTCTTTTTTGTCTTCAGATTAAAGAGTCAAGTAGCAGTGTGGATAGGGAAAGAGTTTCCAGACTTGTAAAGAAATACATCAAAAAAATTAAAGGAGATAAATTTAGCGGATGGTAACAATGAAAGGTGTGAGAAAAGTTTAACTTTCGTTTGGTTCACTGTAGCGAGGATATTCCAAACATTTTCAACAGATTTGTACGAGTTAACTTTGAGAAAAGCTTAATATTTTGATGCGGTATTTTTGAGCAAACATTACGAGAAATTTTCGTATAATTTTTTTTCAGATTTATACCATAGGTGTATTTTATCGTACTTGTTTCAAAACCAAATTGAGATTTCAAAAAGTCTAAATAAGAAGAGCTAATGGCTTTGTTCTTGTTGCTATTGTTATTGTTTTGGTTGTTTTAGAGTAATTGAGTTAGAAAGAGAAATAATAAGAGTAATCATCCACACGGCGTTCGAAATGTTAACAAATATTCCCAGTTTTCTCCCAATATTCTTGTATTTTCCCTTTTTAACTTTTCGATAATAATTCATTAACTTATGACGCATAAGACAGTCTCTTAACAAACAAATAACTTTATTCGCCTATTACTAGCACAATATGAGAGCTAATGGTTGATTACATTACCTTAGATTTAGAAACAAAATTTCTACTCCAAGCTTCTATATACCATTTGAATGGCGTTTGAAACGCAAAAAAACTTAATGCTAGTATTAATCAGGCAATTAGCTACACAAACTAATGTATTTTTTAAAAGTAAAAGCAACATTTTTGCTTTGATTTTCTATGAACTCTCGGAACGGCTGCCAAATATATCATAAGCAGGTTAGACTGCTACCACGTGATCACCACACAGAGCACTTGTTACTCGGGTCCATTCCTTTTCCGCTTTTGCAGCTATAAGCATCTGCAAACTTTTTGAAATTGGACAGCGGACCAATTACCCTGTTGATAAAAGAACAATTCGTGAACTAATGGGTAGTTAACTACAATGAAGCCATCTCCTAAAAAACAACACCAACAATTTATTGATTTACTACAATTTTGAGAAGTGCCTACCCACAATTAGTTGAAAACTAGTCGAAAGAGTTTTTCCTTGACAACTCTGCTTGATCCCAAATTATTGGACAAGGGGGAAAAATTATGGCGCACGCGATTCAAAGGGAAAACCTCTAATCCCATTTGGAGGCAAAAAGAGGCTGATGATTTATTCAGAAACAAATAGTCTGTAACAACTGTGTTTTCCTGTCTTTACCAACCACATAATTATCACACATGCTTATTGGTAATTATACCTATTTTTTTTCCCGGCCACCCAGGTTTTGTTTTCCCGCGCACCAGACCTGACAAACAAAACAGAAGACCTGAAAATAGTTTACCTGTATTTTGGAAAGGAATGTACGTCACGTGCTACTTGGGAAAGAGCTGCTTCCTTCTTGTAGACACTACACCATGGCTAGAACGAAAAGTATAGAAAGAGTCCCTCAATGAAAATCGAGAAAGTTACTTACGATCTCGTTATTAAGAGGATAAAAGCAAAAGGAATTACGTACGGACGAGGAGTGGGGCCACACCATTCTATTTACCCAGTCTCCTCTCGTAATAATCTCTTCGCGTCGCACTTACCAAACGCTTCCCGTTGTTGAGGGTAAATAAGAGCGCACGCTATTAACAAAATGAAAATTACCTAAAAGAAGATTAGTAGCTTCTCGTATGCACACAGTACAGCGATCAAAGAATACCTTAGACCTTTCTTGACAGTGTTCTTTTTTAACGTTTTATTTAGTAAAATCCGGAGCCGAGGTTAGTCATGTTTCCTCTGAGTTGTCAATGGCCTCTTGTGACGTTTGCCCTTTAACTTTTGTTTTAGTTTCACACTTACCGTAGCAAATCCTATGAAAAACAGTTTATCCACACTCAAACCCAAGTCAGGCAGTTGTCCTTCCTTTTTATTGTCTTTAACCCACGACTGATATGCCTAGGAATAAAATTACATGAGCTGTTTGAGCTGCGCAATACACTAATAAGTGAAAACTATGGATTCGTTGACTATAAGGGTAACTGTCCACTGACGGCTGCAAAAAAATTAAGACATCTAGCAGACTAATTAACTCTGACTGGTTAGGTAATCTTAAAAAATCGTGTAGGTAACAACGACTTGTTATCTGTGAAGTGTAACCATGTGTTCACCGTCGGTGAAAAATTTAACTTACGATCTCTTATCTCACTTACATGACGTACTGTACTGTCCACTGACTATGCATACTGCATGCGCGGCACAAGTCTCCTGAAAAGACGTTCTTAAAAGCCCGCCACCCAATCACTCGTTCCCATGTGAGGGTGGGAATGATTCCGCGACGAGTCTTGGAACGTAAGCACAAGAGGCTGGCGCGTTACAAGCAAAGGAAAAACAAACGTACAAAAAACAAAAAACAGTTTACGTGAAGCATACATCATAAGCAAGCTTTATTCCACCATTATCAGCTATGTTCTCATTCAGTGTCTGTTTACCATCTATCTGCAAAAATAAACAAAACAAAACGATTTTAACATTTGACTTAGTGACAACAGCTACTGCATTTATGATACAGCTGGGAGCGCCGCGGGCATGAAAAAGCGAATCCTGTGTTCTGATTGGCTATCTTGCTCGCTCAGGATTGCCCGCTTTGATCCCGCACAAGAAAAAAAAGGTGAGTGGAGCGGACTTAAAACTTTCGGCTCTCGAAATAGAGTCATTCTTGGAAGCGAAATCTTTTGCTACATAATGAATCCTTTATTGGCCAGGCTTGGTCGGTCAATAACGCATATATGTTGTCGATTGCAAATATGCATTCTCTGGCGCGGACACAGGACATCCTGATCTCGCACATTTGCATCAATAAATTGATTGACTCTTTCATTTTTGATTGTAGCTAATTTGATGTTGGATCTGACTTACAGGTGTCCCAAATACGTCATAGTTGTTGTACTGATTCACCAAACATTGGGCTTTCTCGTCAAAATTGTATGTCGAAGAGTATGACCACCAGTTTTTCACATTGCCATCCTTATCATAAAGCCGCCCTGTGGAAGAATCACGAAATTAACAAAAACAGTCCTTAAACTTCCGCATCAATATCCGTATCTAGGAGACTGCACTCCTACCCCCCCCCCGCCCCAACCCAACATCATTAACCCAGCTGGGGAGGGGTGAGTGAGCAGTTGCTCAGAGACTGACATCAATCCAATCTTCCTTAGCATCTAGCTAGATAGTGATCCAATTTCATCTTCAATCCAGTGCTCTCTCGTTCATGTACGACACTTCCTACCGATGCAAATGTTTGATATGTAGAGTTTAACTTCCTCTTTCGTGTAAATATTTTTTCTCCTTGTATTTTTATATTGTTATCAGTGTAGTTACTGCTGTTTCTACCTTGGCTGTCAAATCCATGGGTGATTTCATGTCCAATGACCATTGCTAATGACCCATAGTTAATGTACCTGCAAGAAATATGTCTCTAAAGCTTAGACAAGCTACATGGGTTCAAGAGCGTACTTTTTTTTAAGGATATAAGACATTCTCCTATCAAGTATCATAAACTGCATAGCTTGTAAATAATATTTGCATATTTCAATTGAAGTAACGGTTTATGCACTAGTGTGTATTACAAACCTACAGACTCGCATAATTACTTGTTATCGTCTTCGCATCCATCTCACGTTAAGAATTCCATTCCTTTTGTTCAGGTTCTAAGACTTCGTCGTTTATGCAGTGATGACTCTGATTTCCACCACAAATCAGAGTCAATGTGCCAGTTTTTCGACAAACGTGGTTACCCTGTTTCTGTCGTTCAAGCGGGTTACCACCGCGCCCAACTTATTGATCGACATTCAGCACTACAAACGTCGCATAAGGAAGATTCCGACCGCATTCCATTCACTCTCACGTTTCACCCTCACAACCACTCAGTTAAATCCATCATTCTTAAAAACTTTAAATTACTTCAAAACGATCCAGAGACAAGCACTATCTTTTCGCAGCCTCCGCTCATTTCATTCAAACGCGACAAAAACATAGGCAATTTTTTGGTCAGAAGTTCTTTTCAGACTAATGACCAACCAGGCACTTTTAAATGCGCTCGTGCACGATGCAAAACGTGTCCTTTCATTCACAACACTGATAAAATATCGGGACCTAAACGATCCATTAAGATCACCGATCACTTCACGTGCACCTCCGCCAATGTAATCTATTGCATAACTTGCACTTATTGCAAAAAGATATACATCGGCGAAACAGGCAGAAGACTAGGTGACCGATTCCGAGAACACCTTCGAGACGTGGAAAGGAATGACAAGGACACATCGAAACCAGTCGCTAGACATTTTAATTTACCTAATCATTCTAAGCAACATATGGCAATCTGCGGTCTTTCCTTACACTTAGGTAGCACGGAAAGCCGTAAAACTCTTGAACAAAAGCTCATCTTTCAAACCGGCAGTCTAAATCCCACAGGGATCAACGAACGCTTTTCATTCCACTAATTTATTCGTGTTTTTCTCGTTGCCATGTTCCCACCAATAACGTAGCTCCATTTTCTGCCTTTAAAAGCACACACAACCCACAATTCCTCTATTCGCTCCGACGAAGGGCTAACGCTCGAAACGTCAGCTTTTGTAATCGTTACGGTGGCCAATTTACCATTTTAACTTTGTTGATATATCCAAATTATTTCGTTGCTCCCACCAACGCAGCCCCAAATAGTTTCTTTCGAAACTATCAGCCTTTGCAAATAATAAGATTGTACTATTCTGGGGACGTAGGATTATAGGTTGTGTAATTTCCTCACTGGTACGCAATGCACCTTGCCCAACACACGTTTTTCATTATTTATCAAGGTTCACTCTAAAAACTGGAACGTTCGATCTTTCGGAACATAAGCCTACATTACTAACTGCTTACTTTGGCCAGTACTTTCTGTAAAATGGAGATTGTAGAATTCCAGCCAAAAATACTGCAATGAATGAACAAAAACATGATTAATTATCTTGAGACCCTAAGACCGTGTTATTCAACATCCGACATTGACGACCAGTCCATCCAAAGAGTGAGGGTCTCCCTCAAACCAATCCGTAATCCAAGCTTTGAGTCTCTCCTTCCAGTCAAAAGTGATGAAAACCGCGACGCAATTGTTTAAGTGGCAACAAAAATCGTTATGTTACGAAAAAATAATCAAGGGCTTAGTGATTTGTACGAGTAACCTGCATTCTAGAAGCATCAAAATAGCCAGTATACCGCAGTCAAAAATCAAGTGGCGCATTTTGTAGTGATCTAGTAATAAATAACCAGCAAAAGCTTACTCTGAGATTGCAAAGGTTTGGCTACGTTTTTACCGACTCGGCTTGATCAAAGTTCAAAAGGATTTGCACGTGACGGTCCAAAGATATCTGGGATTGAATCGGTTTTGCTTCACTATGCTCCATTATTGGTCCAGAAAATCTGCGCCAACCTCCAACCAATTAAATACAAAACTAGAGCTAATCGAGACTTAGTGATTCGCGCGCGTTTTCCCGCGCTCATTTCGGGCAGTTTGCTTGTTTCTTCTTTGAGTTCTATCATATTTTTACAACAATTTATCGAAAAGCGCTTCAAAGGTAACTCACCTATCCGGTTTTGCTGTGGACTGTAATATCCATTTACTTGTGCAGGACTTTCCATCCACCTGGAAAGAGATCAAGAGAAAAAAAGAGTGAGCAATGAGACAGGAACACGAAGAACATAGAGTTGCGCTCTCCTCACCACCTGTAACAATTCACGCCACCAAATGATACACCTCAGTAGGAACACTTTATCCTAATGTGTTTACAACAATGAAAGGAAAGAATCGACTGTACGACAACTAACCTTTCTCGAAGAAATTTACAAAACAACATTAGATTTGTACAGATGCAAGATACCATGATTCTCTAAAATGCGTCGATAAGTCAGAGATATATTAGCTATGTAGTTTTAGTGTTAAGAACTCAGGCTGTGTTGCACTTACATGTCCTTGTCGACTGGTTCTCTAAGAACAGCAAAATTGTTCTGAACGATAAATTTGTTCATTGACACGGTGTTTTCAAAATAATCTTCTCCTGCACTCAGCTAAATATTTCGCCAAAAAAAATTGTATTTTAGTCAATAAACAGCACACCAGTGCCCAGACTAGTGCTCAACGCCACTACAACGCTCCACGTAGGTAAACCTAGAAATTATATAATTAAGGATTTTCCCACATTTGTGCCCTGGAGAAATTTTCAAATGGGCGTCGAAAGTAATCCAGAACTCCATTGAGTTTGTCTTCCTGTGCGCTGTGATTGGTCCAAAAAATTTCCACCACCCTAGCCAATTAGAAGCAAAATTAAAACATCAAGTCTCGATCGTTCATGTAATTTAAGGGAATGAATTAAACTGGTCAATCGATCTGATAATATACGAAAAAAAAAAGAACTACATCTAAACAAGTTCTGACACTGGGAGAGGTCCTTGTGAATAATGCAGCAAAAGCTGTCGTGTTAAGTTTTTAAAATGAGCCAAAATTTCATTTGCATCCATTTTTATCTTTTCCCTGATCCACCGCGATCCCTATTCCTTCTTCTTTGTCTAACACTGATTTATAATTGTAGTCACCTTCAACTTCTGGATAGGTTTGAACGATGCAAAAGTTAATAGAAAATGAATGAAAAAAGACTCAAGATACTATTAACACCGCCCATCTCTTTTCAGTACTCACCAGTGCATAATCTAGTTAGAGGGCCACAGGTTTGTCAGCTTTTCAGCTGTTACGTGTCCCCCTCTATAAATAAAGTCCTTACTTACTAGTGAGTACTGCTTGTCGAGTTTTTTGTCGTGTTTGATGAAAGCGGGGTAACCAATGTCCTCTTTGATTGCTTGCGCCTTCAATAAAGAAATACAGAAAGAAAATTTCAAAGGGAGAGTTTCAAGATTACGGGCTTGTTCGGTGAAGCTACTTCAATTTAATCGTTTCTAGAGCTATCAAAAGCACGAGCTGGTGATTCTCATGGAAATTTTACCACGAAAAAAGTATTTTGTGAGGCCTGAGTAGTCCAGTAGTCAGTGCGCTGGACTCTGGGTCAGATGGCCCGGGTTCAAGTCCTGGCTGGAGCTTGACGTTGTATCCTTAAGCAAGACGCTTCACTGACATTGCTTCGTCTTCTCGGATAGGACGTCAAGCCGGAGGTCCCGTCTCCTGCACCTATCAATTAGTTAATTTCGGCAGGGGACGTTAAAGAACCCACATCACGAGGTTACTGTGATGTGGTTTGGCCTGTTTACTGGGAAGGGGGGAAGGGGGCATCTGTAAAAATTTCTCCTTTATTAACTTTAAACTGCCGCCGGCAGTCTGGAAAAGTCCCCCGCACAGTGTTGTAAAGCGCATTAGAGCATTTACATGGAAATGCGCTATAGAAATCGATCTATATTATTATTATTTTTTTTTTTATTATTAAAACTGTTATAAAGCTTTGTATTTAACAGAGCGCCGTACAGCTCTCGTATCTATTAGTATTCAAATTGTATAGCTACCAGTCATGTTCGCGAATTCCGATTTTAAGTACTTTAACATACCTTTGCCTTAGCCGATTGCTTTGTACTGGAATCCATCCAATCTGAGTCATCCAAATTATCAATAAAACTTTGGCGAAGGCGTGTAGTCATGTCCTTCACCTAGTTAAGGAAAAATGAATTAAGTATATATTTCAACACTCTTTAAGTAACATGTAAGCTAACAATAACTCCTGCTTAACAAATCTACAGTGGTTTAGCATGGTCTGTACTCTTATCGACAACGATATTCGTCATCACAGTGGTCAAATTCGTGTTTTAAATAAAGTTTATGTATGTGTGTATGTATGTACGTACGTACGTACGTATGTATGTATGTATGTATGTTTGTGTTTGTGCGTGTGAGTGTGTGTGTGTATCACGGTAGGTATGTATGTATGTATGTATGTATGATGTATGATGTATGATGTATGTATGTATGTATGTATGATGTATGATGTATGTATGCATGTATGGATGCATGTATGCATGCATGTATGTATGCATGCATGTATGTATGTATGCATGTATGTATGTATGCATGTATGAATGAATGTATCTATGTATGTATGTTGGTAGGTAGGTAGGTAGGTAGGTAGGTAGGTAGGTGTGCATGTATGTATTGTATGTATGTATGTAGGTATGTATGATGTATGAATGTACATCATGCGCAATAGTAATTCGCAGTGAAATACTTCGGTGTGATATAATTTTAAAGGAAAGACATTTAACCATCTCACCGTCGTTTTAGTACTTTCGTCAAAATTCGCGTCCACGTACAAACGACCGAGAGTAAAGCTCATTGGCGACATCATAATTTCCAGACAGTCAGACCATCTTTTATTTTCCGCTAACAATCCTGACACTGCTTTCAAATATTTTAATTTTGCTTGCAAAAAGTTGTCGGGCATTGACATCACATAGCTGTCAATGACACGCCACATGATGTAATCCTTAACAGTTTGTTTGTTTCTGCAGTTGGAAAAAAAAAACAAATGTATCGGNGGCAACAGGTTGTTAGGCGCCAGGCTACTGGGTGCCAAACTATCAGGCAACAGGTTGTTAGGCGCCAGGCTATTGGGTGCCAGACTATTCGGCAACAGGTTGTTAGGCGCCAGGCTACTGGGTGCCAAACTATCAGGCAACAGGTTGTTAGGCGCCAGGCTACTGGGTGCCAAACTATCAGGCAACAGGTTGTTAGGCGCCAGGCTATTGGGTGCCAGACTATTAGGAAACAGACTATTAGGCAACAGGCTATTAGGTAACAGGTTATTAGGCAACACGCCATTAGACACCAAGCTATTAGGTACCAGGCTATTAGGCGCCATGTCAAAGCTATAAAGCATAACATAGATTCTCTTAAGTTGTAATACTCACTTATTTTGGTATTGGCTCGCCATCGCTTTAAATACGTCTTTGTAAACGTCTGATTGAGGATAATAGACCTTATCGTACGAACTGAAAGTTACTCCTTGGTTGTAAAATGCAGAATTCAGGAAATCCGTCACGAAACTTGTCTGTAATAGGAAGAGAAGGAGAGTTATTTACCTTCGCAAAGGAAATAACTGCAATACCAGTTGTAAGACCCTACTTACAATGAAAATTTCATCCCGTCACGGAGCAATTGTCCCATGCGCCATGCGGCAAAAGGACATCTCTTCGAAATTGCACATGACGAAGATTTCAAGTCAGGGCCACTCGTACCATTGGAAAGATTACCTTGACGATTCGATTGAGGCTTTCAGGTACTGTATTTCCTTTTCATTCCAAGCTTTCGCCAATCTACAGATTTCCGTGACGATGCTCTAGATCACTGCCGTAGTTCTACGGCTGACAAGCGCATTGCTATGTTTCAGAGAATCGTCCGAAAGCGTCAATTTGAAAACTGAGCACATTTTAAGTTGAGATAGGTCTATTGTCCCTTTGGGCAAAGGGATGCCGCCGGAAGCAAAGATCTTTTCTTCACCGATTTATACAATAATTCACGATAGAAATTTAGATCAAACCGATAGGTACGATTTTTCCCTCCACCATCCCAATTATGGGTATTATGAGATACAATGAAATATATGAAGTTCATATATTTTGTACTGCGGTATTAGATACATATGATGCACGATCCTCGCAGTAGATAGCGCTATTTAAGCAATAGCGAAAATCAGACCTGAAAAAAAATCAGGCCTGTACGGGATTCGAACCACTGACCTCTGCGATACTAGTGCAACGCTCTACCAATTGAGCTAACAAGCCAACTGGGAGCAGGCCATTAAGTTGATTCGTAATAAACCCGTGAAAGTGATAAATGAGATACAATGAAATATATGAAGTTCATATATTTTGTACTGCGGTATTAGATACATATGATGCACGATCCTCGCAGTAGATAGCGCTATTTAAGCAATAGCGAAAATCAGACCTGAAAAAAAATCCGCCCCTACATTGTATCTCATTTATCACTTTCACGGGTTTATTACGAATCAACTTAACGGGCTGCTCCCAGTTGACTTGTTAGCTCAATTGGTAGAGCGCTGCACTAGTATCGCAGAGGTCAGTGGTTCGAATCCCGTACAGGCCTGATTTTTTGCAGGTCTGATTTTCGCTATTGCTTAAATAGCGCTATCTTCTGCGAGGATCGTGCATTATATGTATGGGTATTATGTCATGTTTTTCCGGGTTTACTCACTTCAAAATCTGAGTCTAACCAGAACTCTTCAATCGTCTGGTCCAAGTCGTCTAATGATCGCCCAGATCTGTGATGTTCCATAAGGGATTCTATTAAATCCTCAGACACTGTGTCAGGATCCACTGACTGAGAAAAAATTACAAAGAAACGGTTAAAGTTGACGCTTCATTTCTTTTTGTGACTATCAAGGTAAAGATACTTCGGTGGTCGTTCCCCCAGCAATAGAACCTGCCTTGAAATCCTGAAACTTCGTTGATCTGTAATTAAGTCAATAACCCACCTCAGCAATGCCGCTTTCAAAATCATATATGGCATCCATTTTAGAATCTGAAAAAGGCCCTCCTCCAAGCAGCTTGGCAATAGTTTTCATATAAGTCTTGTACGCCTCACGGACCTGTATATGGAGTATTTGAATTCCCAATATTAATCTTTGCATACATGGCTAACCATGCCAGTACAGTAACACAAAAGGCAACCAAGGAAAAGATGAAATTCTGACCCCTCACTGGCTCATGCAAGATAAAATATAGCCCTATCGCACCATTTTACGACTTTACAATCCCTTTGCCTGTAAGTAATGAACTCTGAACGGAAATGGCAACTTGAAAACTAGTTTAGTCTATTCACCTCGCCATTTCGATGAATAATTATATTTTTAGTTTTAAGGTTTTTTTTTTCGCCTTTTTTATCACGGTTTATCTGTCACCATTTTAATGAGGAACAGTCGACTGATGACTGAAAGTGTTGGAGACTTCATATTTCTGACTTGACGGAAAATTAATGGGACTGCTGGTTGCAGAATAAAATACGAATTTCTTCGTAACCTACGAGGCGTAGTAATGTATTTTATCATAGGGACAAGAGTTTTTATCGGGGACAACAACAGACGTAGAATCAATACGACCACTACATATGGGAACCGAGTGACGTATTTTCCGCTACGCTCACTAGTTAGATATTGTTCTCACCACTCAAAATTCATATCTTCTCGACATCGTGTAACATCCTACTCATTTGAAATTCTTATTCTTCCTACAGCTATAAGGTACATCTAGTTTCTTCACTATTGAATCTCTCAATGAGTTATTCTGGTATTACACGTTTGATGGCCCGCCTTCAAAATTTACAACAAATTTCACTTTCATACGAGAGTCCCAAAAACTCCAAATGAACCTGACCCTTGACAGAAAACGCCCTTAGATCGAGCCTTACAAGTGCTAAAAAAAATACTTTCTATATGTACCAACCTTTATACTGCGGTCTTTCTGGTCGAAATAATACTTAAAACTCATCCCCAATGAGGCAATATTGAGCTAAAAAAAAATGGATTAATTTAGTGATTTCCGTACAAAGTACTGGCGTACAAGCGCGGAAGAAATACTGGAAATTTCGCACAAAATTGTAATTACAAATCATATTTTTTTAAAGGAACCACATTAACCCAAATTTACCCAGGACAGTTGAACTGAACTTGATTCACTACTAGTGCCATCAACATTCATCAAAATAACCTATGAATTTGGTCCAGATCGTGGAATGTTTGGTGTATAAACAACAGCCGGTTCTAGAGGTAAACCGTTTAGCCTAGCTGACCTAGACGCCGTGCTAAATACTCGAAAAAATCCGAACCCATTCGGCCACTATGAAAAGATTTCGATCGTGCCTCGGTAGATTTGATGTGGCTCAGGTAGAGGACTGGGCCTGAACGTCCTTCAGTGTATTAATTTTGGAAACAGTCCGTATGATGAAAACGAAGCCTTTGTTTCCTGACGTAAAGGCATTGTGATAACTAAGACAAAACACCATCGCAATGCTTACATTAAGAATATGTTGACTGGAATCCTCGAAGTCTGTACCCACACTGGCCCGCAGCAACGTCTGAACGTTCAAGTCTCTCAAGACTCGCCCCATTTTTTCTGGCACTGTCCATGCATTCAATCCCTTTCCAGTCACTGACCAGCCACCATAAAGTTCTATCAGTTTTTCCAGGGGCGAACTTCCACGACTCTCAATGGCAGATGTGTTCAGGCATGAATCATAAATCTTGACGGTTTTCAAAATGAACGAGCTCTGGTAGGAATCACAGACAAAAAGAAAAATCAGATCACGAACTAAATAAGACAATTTCAGTAATTTAGTCACATAGGACCAAGGGACTGGTCAACATTAATTTACCAAAGGGAGACCCCCTTCCCCCTTCCCCCCTTGCTAATTAATTTCTATAGTCCCCCCCCTCATGCTCGGTTGGCGGAGACTGATCCCCCAATGTTCTCCCTGAAAACCATGTGGTCCTCCCC